CAAGGAGATGCATATAGCTGGGCAGAATGTATTTTCTGGGTTCTGAAGGCTATAGAAGGCATGTCAGAGAATACAGTACTAAAAACTTTAAAATGCTTTCTTGGGAAAGTGCATCCACCTTGGCTCCACTATTCCGTCAGTGCAAATGAGCATTACATTTCTCTTGACCTTGAGTTAGGACTTAGGGAAGCAGAAATCAATATTTAACCATAGTCCGGGGAGGGCCAGGCGAGGGCATCTATTTTTTTCTCCATAGTCTTGTGTTAAGACCTTGATCTAAAATAAATAAATGAGGGGCACTATCTTTATTTTGAAGCTCTCCAGAGAGGTTTACAACCTTCTACCACATGTTCCTTTATTTTAAATGACCTTTTACTATCAGAAAATTTTCTTATTACTATTGTTAAATTGCTAATTGTTTCCAAATTTGAATAATCAGTCCACTTTAGCAATGGGAATATCCTGAGATCAAATCTGGAGCTAATAAGAGTTTAAAGTGGATCTAATAGTGACATAGAAAATTAACATCTTTTCTATACAGAACAGTTTAGAAAATGAATAGGTATATAGTCCTGTTTTTGATAACAATGGAAACTTTAAATACCAACCTAAAAAAAATGCAGAAATCTTATATTGAAGAAAATTGATAAGACTTTACTTAAGGACATAGAAGACAATCTGAGTAAAAGGAAAGAAAGCAAAAACCATATTCCCATATGGGCAGATACTTTTTTTTTTTTTTTAAAAAAACTTTTACTGTGATTTGGGTGAAACTTTTCAGAGCAAATTTATTTTTCATACAGCAGGTCATAACACATTTTGTCTCGTGACATTGACTGTAATACCACAGTGTAATAGCTTTCTTCCCAGTTTCTCCCCGTAGTTAACTCTTCCCTGTGTCCTTCCCTCCCATGCACTCCTGCCCCCTGAGCCATCTCCCCGTGGATATGCTACCCTTCTCTTCTCCCATGATTGATCTCTTCTAGGAGTGTATCTACCTGATAGAAATGTTCATCCCATATACCGATCTATTATTTGGCTGGAAGCCACAGGAGTAAGTTGAATTGCACACCTGAAGGGCGGGCAGCAAGGGGCCATAGTCTCAGGGGTTTCACCAGGCTCTATCAGACCAGCAAACCTTGTCATACCCTCCCGCCATCCCCCCCTTTAAAAGAAAAAAAAAAAAAGATTTTGAGTTTTATTCCACATTGTTTTCCCATTCTATTCTATCCAGCATCTCCTACAGAGATCCCCCTCCAAGTGCTTGACAGTGTTAGCCAGGCACCATCTAGTTCTTCTGGTCTTATAGTTGTATAGGCTGAGGATTGCATGGTGTACCAGTTACTTGGACTAATTGTTTCCATGCGTCTTTAGTTTTCTTCATTCTTCTTTGCTCTGGATGAGGAGAGACCCATTGTTGAATCTAGATGGCTGCTTGCAAGTTTTTAAGATCCCAGTCACTACTTGCCAAAGTAGGATGTGGAACAATGTTTTGTGTAGCATGTTATGCCAATTAAACTTGATGTCCCCTGCAACTATGGTCCTGAACCCACAGGTTCAACTACTCACTCCTTCTGGGAGCTGTCTGTGGCCAAGAAGTGACTACAGTCTTGTCCCTTGTCAGCTCTGCTATGTACCTGGGTATTTTTATAGGACATATAAATACACTTGTAGAAACATTGTCTGCCAGCCCTATACATGGACATGGTCATGGGCACATTCCCTCCTGCATAGACATAATCTCATAGTTAAGCCTGTCCACCCATGTATCTGCCCATAGATCAGTGTTTGCCTTCACTGACAACGCAGTACTATTCATCTTTGTTGTCTGCACCTCCCATGAACCTCTCTGTCTTCCTCTCCCTCAGTGCCACCATGTTGATCACTCACATATGGTACATTGCCCTTCTCTTCACCCAAATCAATACTTGTCTCTACATGTCTAACAGTGTTCCCTCCCATCCCACCCCTGGTAACCAACAAAGAAACTTTCCTTCCAATATAAACCTTTCCTTGACTTTTTATAATAACAAACTAATATAATCTTTGTCCTTCTGTGATTGACTTATTTCACTCAGCATAATGTCCTCCAAGTTCATCCATGTTAGGCGGTGTTGTGCAGATTCTATGTTATTCTTTAGGGTTTCATAGTATTCCATTGTGTGCATGTACCATAGTTTGGTTATCCTTTCTTCTGTTGTTGAACACCTAGGTTGTTTTAATCTTTTGGCTATTGTAAATAGTGCTGTGATGAACATGGGTATGCATATGTCTGTTGTTGTCCTGGCTCTTAGTTCTTTAGGATATATAGCTAGTAATGGAATGACTGGGTCAAATGGTAATTCTAATTCCAACTTTTTAAGGAATCGCCATACTGCTTTCCACAGTGATTGTATCATTTGACAGTCCCATCAGCAGTGTATGAGAGTCCCAATCTCTCCACATCCTCACCAGCATTTGTTATTTTCTGTCTTGTTGAACTTTGCTATTAGTGCTGGGGCCAGATGGTATCTCATTGTTGTTTGATTTGCATCTTTCTAATGGCTGTGGATTGTGAACATTTCTTCATGTGTTTGTTGGCTGCCTGAGTATCGTCTTTGAAGTGTCTATTCATGTCTTCTGCCTGTTTTTGACTTGGATTATTTGTCTTTTTGTTGTTGAGGTTCTGGAGTTTTCTGTAAATTGTAGAGATAAGTCCCTCGCCAGATATGTCATTGCCGAAAATTCTTTCCCAATCTGTAGGTTCTCTTTTGACTGTTCTGGAGAAGTCTTTGGAAATTTTATTTTTAGAAGGTCCCATTTATCTAATTTCTCTTCTACTGTTTGTACATTTTGGATTATGTTTGATAGTCTATTTATGTCATATATTAGGGCCCCTAAATTTGCCCCTAGTTTTTCCTTGAGGAACTTTATAGTTTTAGAGTTTCACATTTAAATCTTTGATCCATCCTGAGTTAGTTTTTGTGTATGGTGTGTGGTATGAAACTTGTTTCATTTTTCTGCAAATGTATGTCCAGTTTTTCCAGCACCATTCGTTAAAGAGACATTCTCTTCTCCATTTAATGAATTTCGGCCCTTTGTCAAAGATCGGCTGACCATAGGTTGATGGATCTATTTCTAGGTTCTCAATTCTAGTCTGTTGGTCTGTGTGTCTGCCGTTGAACCCACACCAGACTATTTTGACTATGGTGGCTGTATAGTAGGTTTTGAGATCCTTCAGTGTGAGACCTCCTACTTTGTTCTTCTTCTTCAATAGTGCTTTGCTTATCCAAAGTCTCTTTCCTTTCCAAATAAAATTAGTGATTGGTTTTTCCATATCCTTAAAAAATGTTGATGGGATCTGGATTGGGATTGCATCGAATGTATAGATTCCTTTGGGTAGAATTGACATTTTCATAATGTTCAATCTTCCTGTCCATGAGCATGGGATGTTTTTCCATTTATGTAGATCTCTTATGGTTTCTTGAAGTAGTCTTTTGTAGTTTTCTTTGTATAGGTCTTTTGTGTCCCTAGTTTGATTTAGTCCCCAGTATTTTATTTTTTTGGTAGTTAATGTAAATGGTATTGATTTCCTTAGTTCTTTTTCAGCAATCTCTTTGCTGGTGTAGAGTATTCCAACTGATTTTTGGATGTTGATCTTATATCCTGCCACGATGCTAAATCTCTCAATTAGTTCCAGTAGATTTTTGACTGAGTCTCTTGGGTTTTCTAGATATAGAATCATATCATCAGAAATAGGGATAGTTTGACTTCTTCCTTAACAAGTTGGATGCCTTTGATTTCCCTTTCTTGCCTTATGGCCCTGGCTAGGACTTCTAGTGCTATGTTGAATAGAAGTGGTGACAGTGGGCATCCTTGTCTGGTTCCTCTTTGCAAGAGGAAAGGTTTCAGTCTCTCTCCATTAAGAATAATGTTGGCTGTTGGTTTTGCATAGCTTCCCTTTATTATGTTGAGGAATGTCCCTTCTATTCCTATTTGTTCTGTGTTAGACTGGGTTCTCTATAGAAGCAAAATTAGTAAAACTTTTAGAGAGCACGCGAGAGGGAGAGAGAAAAAGAAATTTATTTTAGGAAAATGGCTCACACAGTTAAAGAAGCTGGCAAGTCCAAAGTTCTTGGATTAAATGTCAGGCTAGAGACTTTTCCCGACTCACGCAGCTGCAGGAGCTGAGGAGCTCAAGGTTGGCAGGCAGTACACTGGCTGTTGACTCTAACAAGTGACAAATCCAATATATCCAGGCCAAATGGTGGATTGTTCACTCACGGACAGTTGTAGGCAGCGCAACAGAATCCCGATCCACAGAAGAGTGTCTCTTTTCCCAGGATGTCCATAAATATACTGCAAGCAGGCCACATCCCTAGGGAAACTCACTTTCAGTGATTGGCTGCTCAAAACATATACATCTGAGCCCCCCATCATGGGAATAACCTCATCACAACTGCTCAAACCACACAGAATTGTGGTCCAGCCAAGTTGACACATGACTCCAACTATCATACTTGGTGAAAGTGAAGATGACTTGAAGCACTTACTGATGAAGTCTGAAAACTACAGTCTTGCAGTATGGGATAACATTTCTATATAAAGAAAACAAAAATCCTCACAACTGGACCTATAAGCAGCATCATGATGAATGGAGAAAAGATTGAAGTTGTCAAAGACTTTATATTGCTTGGTTCTATAGTCAACGCCAGTGGAAGCAGTAGACAGGACATCAGATGACATAGCTCTGCACAAATTGGCTGCAAAGTACCTCTTTCAAGTGCTGAAGAGCAAAAGTGTCTCCTTTAGGACTGAGGTGCGCCTGACACAAGCCATGGTATTTTCAGTCACCTCAGAAGCATGTGAGAGCTGGACAACTAATAAGGAAGACCGAAGAAAAGTTGATGCTTTTGAGTTGTGGTTGCTGGCAACAAATGCTGAGAGTGCCATGGACTGCTAAAAGAACTAACAAATCTGTCCTGGAGGAAGTACAGCCACAGTGGTCCTCAGAGGCGAAAATGGCTAGACTTTGTCTCACCTCTCATGTTGTCCGGAGGAACCATTCCTTGGAGAAGAAAGTCATGTGTGGTAAGGGATGGTCGACAAAGGAGGGGAAGGCCTTTAATGAGAAGGGTTGACACAGTGGCTGCAGTGAAGGGCTCAAGTATGGCAAGGATTGTGGAGCTGGTGCAGGACTGGGCAGTGTTTCGTAGGGTCACTATGAATCAGAAACAACTCGACAGCACCACTTGAGAACAGCATAACAGCTCTCCACTCAAGAGCAAATTTTGAGTCTCCTCTGACATCGGTTTTGGTTTTTTCTTACTTGTGTCTTTAATGACTTTTTTGCTTTCTTCATGGATGATGTTGTTGATGTCATCCCACAATTCCTCTGGTTTTCGGTTATTGGTGTTCAGTGCATCAAATCTGTTCTCTAGATGGTTTCTAAATTCAGGAAGGATATAATAAGGTCATATTTTGTCTCTCTTGGACTTTTTTTTTTTTTTTTTTAAATTTTATTTTGATTTGGGTGAAGATTTACAGAGCAAATTCACTTTTCATACAGCAGTTCACATATACTTTGTCTCATGTCATT